TAAGCCCTTGGCATCAGCTCCTCATCTTTTTCCCCTCCCTCCCTGGTTCCCCCTCCCTCATGAGCCTTTGATAATTTGTTATTATTTTGTCATATCTTGCCCTGTCCGACATCTCCCTTCGCCCACTTTTCTGTTGTCCGTCCCCCAGGGAGGAGGTCACATGTAGATCCTTGTAACCAGTTCCCCCTTTCCTACCCACCCTCTCTCTACCCTCCCATACTTATCTATCATATAATATGTATATTCATCCAAAAAACGTAGATTCAACAAGATATATCCTAAATGAAGTCACATAAATTCATGAGGTCAGGTAGATTATAAATGGTAAACGCTAATAGGTAATAGTAGAAACTAGGTCATACTGGAACAAATGCCTAATCTATGGGATCAGTATGCTTTGCTGACTATTGCTCAGAAATAGACCACATTCCCAGATTGGTGATGTTTTTAGGAAATACTCCATCTGGGTTTTAAAGAAGTAGCTGTAACTCATTTAAACAGATTTGCAAAAACAAAAATTAGAGTAAATAAATAAATTTGCAGCAAATAAATCCACAGGCTGTCACTCTGAAAACTGTAATTACATTCTAGCATTATTAAACAAATCATAAATTATTTCTTCATAAATTGCAGACTTGGTTTTTCCTTAAATTGCATTTTTCAAAACTGTTTTCCCTTTTCCCCCAAAGAATGAAAAGTTCACCAGATGTCTGTATGATTTTATCTATTTAGTGATACTAGAAGTCATACCTATAAAGAAAATAAATATTATTTCTCTTTCTAATTACTGGAGCCCTGATATCATGCCCAGGTAAGTGTTGGACTGCTAAGCAAGGTCAGCAGTTCAAACCCACCAGTTATTCCTTTGGAGAAAGATGAGGTAATTTTTCTCCATATACATTTAGCCTCAGAAATCCTAAAAGGGTCATCATGAGTTGCAATCAACTTGATGGCGGTAGGTGTTGGTATTTTTAATTAAATAAAGCCTAATCTTTTCACTTATAGAAGTCCATATAGTCAAGGTAGACTTGGGGTCATGATAGTGGGGAGGGTGGGAGGACTAAAGAACTAAGCAGTAGTTCTCAACCTTCTTTCTTAATGCCATGACCCTTTAATACAGTTCCTTATGCTATGGTGAGCCCCCCAACCATAAAATTATTTTCATTGCTACTTCATTACTGTAATTTTGCTACTGTTATGAATTGGGCGCATCCTGTGAAAGGGTCATTCCACCACCAAAGGGGTTGCGACCCACAAGTTGAGAACCGCTGAACTAGAGGAAGTTGTGTTTCATCAGTGCTATACTGCACCCTGACTGGCTCATCTATTCAGCTTTGGGCCTCCGTCCTACCCTCCCCCTCATTCACATCATTATGATTTTTTTGTTCTATGTCTTTGATTCCTGATACCTGATTCCATCAACAACTCATGATCACACAGGCTGGTGTGCTTCTTCCATGTGGGGTTTGTTGCTGCTCAGCTAGATGGCTGCTTGTTTATTTTCAAGTCTTTAAGACCCCATTCGTCATATCTTTTGATAGCCATGCACCATCAGCTTTCTTTTTTGTTGTTGTTGAAATTATTAAGAAAAGTTTATTAACAAAACCTGGGCAGGGACCAGCCACTTTTAGAAAATGAGGCTATCTGCTGGTCCCGGTTGCTCACAGACTTAGGTTTTTATAGGGTTTCATCAAACAGTTGAGCTGTGCAGCTGTACAACCAAGCTGGTACAGAAGCAGATCTTGCAGTTAGGCGATTAAGCACAATTTTCTGATACAGGATAGTCTGTTGCCAGTTCTAAGAACAAAGGGTTGTTTCCAGTTTTAGGAACAAGGGCTATTTGGCTTTTC